CAACGAAATATCTTGACCTAGGAAAAAGATAGCATGGCTGTTGAGGACAAGTTGAGGATTCATTTTAAGGCTTTAGGTCCAAGGACGGTGGGAAAAATATCAGAAGTTTCAAAAATTACCCCTGCTCTGCCCCACCGGTTGTCAAAGACCCAGTCATTTTCTAATGGAAGTAAGCCACAGTTTTTCTATAACCTGTTTTAAATACACCAGCTGATGTAAACATTGCATATTTGTTTGTTTATTGATTTTAGTGTTCTGTTTTTAGGTTAGAATGGTAATGCAGAGTTAAAAATGTATCGTGTTAGGGGAAGACCGCGACTACGAAGGAGAGTATTTAGGAATGATGCACAACATAGGGAAAGGTTATGGATAGGGCGGAAAAGTAATATTGTTTGGGGGAGATTTTACCAGATACTGTCTGTTGTTCCAAGCAAAAAAGGATAAAACAATATAACATAAAAGGCATAGTACAAATATAGTAAAGGGGACATACATACATAACAGTAAAATCAGGTAAGTAGTTTCCGTATCTTAAACTAACTAAAATAGGCGTGTCAATGCCGATAAAGAGGAATTTGGTTATTTGCTTCGACAACCGGGAAACAGAACCAGTGTCAAAGTATTTAGAAATCAATCGATGATTAGTTTTTTTTAACAGTATGTCACAGTAATATAAGTCAGTATTTATTCGCAAACAATATCACAATTAATTGTTGCATTTAGCAGATTTTAAATTCTGGAAGGAACTAAATTGTTTGTTAAAAATTAATAATAAAATCTAAGGCAAACAAAAAGAAGGTTTTCACTCAAAAGATGCGGTGTACAGGGATGATAAATTCACTCTTAGTTTGTTTAAATATTACAAAAGTTTCTTTTACATTTTGAGATTTTTAGGGACTTCTGTCCCTATACAAGCCATTAGTTACAATTATTTAGCTATTGAAAACTAAGTGTACTGTATAAACAATTTCAAACTCCAAATTTTTGATTCAATATAATAATAGACATCTTCAGAACTTACTTAATAGTCGTTTTCAAAATTCATTGGTTGGAGTGTTGATTAAATGTTGATTAAATGTGTTTATTAAATGCAGTACTAACTACATTCCTTCATGTAATTTTGAAATAAGTTCGTGTTTGCAAGTTTACTGATTTTAGAGCTTGGAACTAAGAAGTCATGAAACAACCAATAGTGTTCAATAAATAAACCTAAAATGGACCAGAAGGTAATTGTTTTTTCCTTATGAATCAATTTGACGTTTTGTACATTTTTAAAATTTAAAATTCAACTTAAATAATTTATGATTTCCTATCTCAATAAAAAAAACATTTGAAATCAAATTTCTACCATAGAAATGGGATCAGTTTAACAAAGCTAAGCTAGAATTCTATTAAGACACTTTTCATCATGTCCAAAGTAATCTACACGTTCTCATAATTAATTCATGCAAAGCTAAGGATATGATACAACTTACTACATGTTTCTAATTTACAGTTTTACTCTTAAATTTCTTATTATATTACTCACGATACAGAGAGGTTGTGAGTTGTTTGAAGTGCATTTTAAATATGAGTTTTGTTGCTAGGTAACTTATTTATGATTCTTTGTTCAAAAGTTATCTGTTTCTGCTATGTTTTGTTGTAACCAAGGTGAAATAAAATGTTAAAGTATTTTCTTAATCGCAAGGGTGGTTCCAGGGGGTATCAAGGGGGTCGAGACCCCCCCCCCCAAATATTTTACCAGGGGAACTTTAATAATTAATTGTTATTGAAAATCGTTCAACCAAATTCATTGTAGTCTATACACTTGTGGCAAACGATAGGTCTAATTACAAACTCTAACCTAAAACTTTGGATCGTTCGAGTTTGAATATTTTTTAAGCTATGAAAAGTAGGGAAGATCGGCAGACGACGGACGCTTTCAGCTATACGGCAACGGCAGTGTCCGATGCTGGCGTTCGATGTTCGGCCGCATTCTTCTTATTTAATACATCCACATTTAATGTTATCATTCCTTTTAACCTAGATGATTGAAAACTTGATTGGCTATTGGATTAAGAATAGTATCAAAGGAAGATTTATCAATAATCACTTGAAAGGTAGTTGAATATTAATTTATCCGAGTTAAACGTTAGGAATTTGTAATAACAGAATTTGTAATTCTACGATTTCCTACCATATTAAATTTTAAAACCTTCAATGTTTAAATAGTATTCAAATTTCCTAATAATTAGAGGACGTGATATCGTGATATGGACCAAAAAATAGTCTACTCGAACAATCCCAAGTTTTAGGTTAGAGTTTGTAATTAGTCCTATCAATCGCCACAAGTGTATAGATTACAATGAATTTGGTTGAACGATTTGCAATAACAATTCTATTAAAGTTCCCCTGGTATAATAGTTTATATATATATATATATTGACCCCCCCCCTGGGACCACCCTTGCATATAAGTACAAAGTTAACTGAGACAAATTTTACCATACTTTATACTTTTTTCCATACAGAACTTGTTATCTTTTTTATTTTGTATAACTATATCTAAAAAAATGTATAAATCCATAAAGAAAATTGCTTTATGAAACCTAAAATTGACAATCATGATTATTCTGTATATCTATAATGAATGTGCTTTATGTTAATTTTGGAAAACGTTTCGTACAGGAAAATACTAAGCTAAAAGAACATGTGCAGGCTTATCCTAAATGTCTGATATTCCATCTGTCTATAAACCTCATCAATCATGCCTACCTCATCAGATATCCAGCAATACCGCGCAAGTATTATCCAAAATCGGATATGTTTTTAAATGGAATGCATAACGTCAATATGGTATTCTCTCCAATATGGTTTATTTTATATATTTTACACAATAATTAGGAATATAGGTTAAAGTATGTAATTAGACTAATTCACCAAATATATAAATAGTTCATGAATTACATTCCACATTTTCAACGTTTAGTGAAAAAATAATTATAACTATAGGAATAAAATTACATCTTTGGCCAGTTTTATTATTTTTAAAAGTATTTTCCTGAGTGGTCAATACAGTAGTACTAAACTAGGGAAGGCTGTTCTAATGGTTATAGAGCAGGAGTAGCGCTTGGTAGTACAGTATCATAGATAACTGTCATAGATAGTTTTGTTGCTGTAAACCAGCTCTCTGGAGTTACATGTAGTCCCTGGTTCAAATTCCATTAATCACTAATGGAAATTCACTACTGACTGTCCTCATTTTCCTTTTTTTGGGTTTGACATGGCCATTTATTTTGAGCTTTTGTTAAAAATAGATACTTAAGGTGTTTGATGAACTACATTTTTATCACAATGTACAAATCAAGTACCCATTTTTGCAAATGTATTTATTGTTCCATTCAGGATCTTCTTATATCTGTTCAAGAAGGATTATATGTAGACAAAAACAATACCTAGATTCCTTGGTAATATACCTCAAGCTATGGATTCCACAGAACTAGAATCAGCAGTACAAAACTGAGTGTTAACTAAATAAACTTTACCTGAGTTTTAATAATTGTATTTCAGTGATCAACAACAGTCTTGTCATTGGGCAATTAATTGAATGATTCATTCACACTATAGGTCGATTGTGACAAGACTAAGGTATGGTTCGTTCTCTTATATAACATCTAAACCTAATGGTGTACCCAAGTAGGCAACACCTAACACTATACATTGAACGGCGCGCGTAGTCAATTCAGCTACACAGAAGTATTGCGGTCATTGCATACTCCAAGAAATGCAGGCGCGCCTCGTGTAGTCCGAATGAATGTTGAAAATGTATTTACATTTCATCGAAATAAACATAAAATTTCGCGTTTCAACCCAAGATACTACATTTATTGGATTGTCTATTGTTAAGAGTAAAACACAGTAAAAAGAACTTTCGCACAAATAGTTATTCTTCCTAGAGCAAATCATTACATCTTTGTTACGGCAATTATGGTGGCTACGAATATACCAGTGAAATCGTTAATATTGTATGCCTACATTACGCTTATGTATTATCTGACCTTCGGAAATAGTTTCTTCCCAGCGGAAAAACAGCGATAAATTTATTTATTTATTTATTAACGAGTTGAAGATGGTATTGACGTGTGGGAAACACCCACACTCAATATGCATTCCAGTATCGTATGTGCCAGAATTCAGAACATTACAATAGTGGTTCACAAATTGCATTAAGCTGTTACATAAAACGTCAATCAGCTATTTTCTATTTTAAATCATTAAAATAATTTCAATTAACTGAAAAATAAGAAGAGCGCTATACAAAGCAAGGACTAGGCGAGCGAGGCGCGGCGCTGCTCACCTTAGGAATCGTTCTCGTAATGTTCCAGTCTAGTGAGCTAGAGCTGAAAACCTACTGGACTGAGGCTGTTTTAGGTCTTTGCCCTCTTTACCGAGGGAAAGGATTGCAAAATGTGTCACTCCGAACATGGAGATGCCGGCTCAAACTTGGTCAAATGTAATATTTTGTGTTATGTCGCGGCCCGGGGGATCGTAGGCCGTATACACCTGTTGTGTGTACTAACCACGATTACTAACTAACTAGTACAACATGTGACCAACATAACCGGAATTGTTATATGTCTTGAATTTGTATTTTCAAGACCTGTATGTTTGTCATATGCAAATGTGACTGAAAATATAACGGAGGACATCACTGTATGAATCACGGCAGTTAGGTCTCAATGAAGCAGTAGTGGAACGTCAGCTATTTGCTACGACTACTGTACTTTGACCAGCCTAACCTCCACACCACACCACCTACTTTCCCTTTCCCGCCCAAAATCGATGCCAGCTGTAACACAGAACGGCGGGAACGGAAGATGGTTGCCATGGTGACCGATCTGCGCGGTGGTCTGCCGCCTGGCGCTGATAACGCTGGCGCTCCAAGCGGCACCTAGCAGAACTAACGGCTAGTAAACAAACCACAGGCTAGCTACAGGTAGGCGAGCAGTGGTCAGCGGTCGCGGTCGTAGCTAGTGAGTTAGAGTTGTAGTGTAGAATGAGTTGAGTGATGTGAGGGTGTAGTGAGACGACCTTCATCTAGACCTTGTGATTGTGATTGTGTTGATAACAAACTGATAAGCTGTGGTCCTCTTGGGTCCCGTCATCGTCGGCAGGTAAGCTTATCATCAGTATCACTAGACTGGTAGAAGCGTACTGTAAGCAATGGGTGTTATCACTTGATAATATTGGCGTTATATAGAGTTCTTGTGGTGAAATATCCGAAATTGAGATGTAACATATTGTTTTTCCTACCGTGAACAAGCACAGAATGACGTTTGTGATGCTGTTTAGGACGACCGTGTTATCACGATAAAGCCAAGGAAATATTTGATTGTGCACCTGCTGCTCCAAGCGCCAATTTTGTTTATCATGTGTAAATTGTTAAGTTAATGAGCAATATACTTTGTATAAGTGACAATTGGTCCCCCCAACAGTTCTTGAACCACTGTCTTTCATCGTTGTAAGTACTTGAAATCTTTCACAGTTACTTAGTCTTCGTTTTTTAAGAATTTCATGGCCAGGATGTAAAATTGTCTACAAAACCTAGAGCGTTTTAAAAAAAAATACACCTCTTCCTGCATTGTTAAAACTAAACTCTAATCTACCTATTACAACTAACAGCTAGGGGGCCTTGAGCTAAAGGGGAGTTGTTATCATTATACAGAAGCTTGTGGCCATAGGGATTGTGGTGGATTCCATTAGCTTACACAAGCTTGCTATAGGCCTACTATAATGACATAAAAAACGTTAGATAATAGATAATAAACAAGAAATTCTGCTTTGTGCTATAATGGATCAAAATGGAAAGTCGATTGAATCATCCCCTATTGTTACCGAAATTCATACATAAAACAAACATAAAAAATGTGTTTTCACGTCAATCATAATTTTATGTATAAGATTATATGGAAATTTCATGCATCATAAGGCAGCTTGTGATGAAAGAATTTAATAAATAATGTGCTTTCTCGGTACAGTAGCTTACTTTTTCCAGTGTATCACGTCATAAAAAGGTGAACCTGTATCTAAAATAAACGGTATCAGCAATCTGACACATACTTTCTCCCATTAGCCATTATTGTCAAAAACCTTTATCATGGGTAAAGTGGCGGAAGTAACTATGATAATAGGAAAAATGCATTTATTTGTCGTTTATGCATTTGCAATAACTTATGAAATGGAATTTTTCAGCAATGAGGGGTTACACTATTTTGTTTAGAATTATAAGGACTATAACATATGTACTAATTTTAATCAAATCCAACTTTTTTTCCAAAAACCCGATTTTTTTATTCAATGTTTTTTATGGGAAAATAACATAAGTTACAATACTTTTGAACAGTAATTTTGAACGAGAATTGGGATTTGTACAATTTTGTTCAGATTATAAAGCACTAAAACGTACTAAATTGTTCGGGCCATTTTCGAGAAAATCCAATTTTCCCGCTATTTTATGGGGTTTTATGGAAAAATTACCATTAAAAATCAAAATTTCAAAAAAAAATGAAAACACGTCTGGAGATACCGTGGATTGGTACCTACATACCAAATTTCAGCAAAATCGCACCACAGGTATAGTCTTCATTCACATATGCAGACACACACACACAGACATCACTTCGAAACCCACTTTTTTGGGCTCAGTGGGACCCAAAACGGATATATACACTCAAAACTGAAACTCGAAAACTTTGACGAAAACAATACTTTCTCCATATACTATGTATAGGGGGATAAAGTAATAATGTAGCCTATATGAAATTAATTCCGGGTATATTTATGATATGATAGTTTGTTTTGTAGACCATGTTGACAACATTCACTTGTTTTTTATGTTAAATGTACGATTAAAACCCGAACATAGAATCTCTGAGCTGAACTTTGTTATGTGAGAGGCATTTCGGCTTATTTTAAAATATCCATGGAAAAACATTGAGTGTATATGATATGGGCGAGTTGATTTTTGTACCTCTTGGAGCGGATTCTTTAGCGATGGCCATTAATTAAAACCTCAGCGATCAATGACAGCTAAATCGTCTATCATTGGCAGCTGGGTTTTGTTCCAGCCATAAAACAGCTTGACGTATCACCCAGTTGTTAAATCTTTCATCCTTCAGTCTACGAAAATTTTCTTTACAATCTGTATGAAACCTGTAACTTTGCCTGTCCTAAACATTATTTTTTGTCCCAAACAATGCTTTTCTTGGTCCAAAAGAGTATACAGTATTTCATTACTAGGGCGTAAAGTGCCTGTTTTCGGCCCAAGGTTTTGTTTCACGGCCGATTCGAAGCCTATATCGTAAAATTAGCTTGGGTTGAAATGACACTTTTTGCCCGTGTGATGAACAACATTTTTCGTCATATTGCAATATTAGAACACAAGATATGTTAGAAAACGAAAGTTAAGTTAAAATGACTTCTGACTTGTTCCCCCCCCACTGTTGCTAATTAGCTGTTATAGAATCATTTCGTCTGTTACATTGTTTTGTACTCCGTTCACAATATTTAGGCGGTTCGAGGGGAAGTTCCCATACCACTTTTTCTGCTTATGTATTTTGCAGCTGAATGACGTTTTGACGAAAACAAAAAGGGCTATTTTTTTGGAAGAGTGCTTGAGTTTTTCCGTCTCAAGGACATAAATTATTGATTTATAGGTTTCGGAGCGCCAGACGGCTTAGTTTGGATAAAGATTAAGAAACTAAATTACATTTTTCTATGAGTGGATATATTTTCCTTTGTTTTTATTTGTTTTTGTAATATAAAACCCTGAAAATCAGTTATATCAACGTCCATTAAAATTTGTTCGTAGCTTAACTAAAATATTGTAACGCTTAATTTTTTTGGTTAGCGCACTGGTAAAATTTAAGCCAGTAGAAGGCAGAACATGCGATTTACATACTAACAATATTGAGAAATAACTACTTGCAAGCTCAACAAAAACTATCATTTTGTGGCATAGGCCTACTAGTTTATATTTTAAAACAACACTTAAACATTTCTAATACCCCCAGTCAACAAATTCAACGTTTAGTCACTATAGTAGCCAAAGTAAACTATGTATGGCATTGGCACAGCAATAACACCGTTCTATAAAAACACTCGCAAATAAACTGTAAAAACATTAAATGATAAAAAATAAAGGAAATATACCGGTACTATACAGTCATTGGCTATCTACGGCGTCTTAAAAAATGGTTACTGTACTACCTTAGATAACAAAGAGTAAAAAACCTGTCTGTATTAAAAATCATTGATAAAATCATTGATGCGAACGCCTCGCCAAGCCTTTTTTCATTTTTAGTTCAATCTATCGAAATCTTACTTTCTTTGTTTAATATGATAAATGATTCGGAACATAAATTGAATAACGCCAAAATAGTACCTATGGTCGAATGATCGATTATCGAACCTTATTACTTCAGGGGAAACTTTATTCTGATGTTTACTGACCAAGAACTAAAGACTAAAGATAAAATAGAAGAGAGTGGACACAATTGTTTGACGAACCTGTCTTATTGCACTAATGATGACATTACGTCATCACAATGTAAACTTCAGGCAACGCTGCAAAATGATATCGTGCAATTTTAACCGGAGACGAAACTGTAAACAGTGATATAGTCTACCTACACAACACAACAACAAGTGTAATAATGAGGTATAGTTTTTTTAGAGGAAGGGATTCAAATATAGTGTTCAACCGAATTAGTATTTAGAAGGTTTCCGATTCTGTTCTGAGAAAAGTCAGAAGCTTTTTGATGGTTCGAAACTAAATCCCGTCGTCTTTGATCAATGAATCGGCTTGGCCAATGAATCAGCTGATCTTAGCCATTAAAAGCTGTCATCTAATTCATTCAACACTCATCCTTCACTCATCTTCACCTCAAAATACGCACCTTGGTGTTTCGGCGCCGTATCATAGATTAAACACTCATTAGACCATGGTTGTATAGGAAATTGAACATAGTATAATCTTCAATTTAATGATCTAACCAGACAGCACAAGTGATTTCTTGATAACAAGCTAGGCGTTATCTATACCCTGTACCCTGTAAAAGTATGTTAAATCAATGATATCTAATCCAATATCTATCTATACACTTTAGATCTATAAAAAAATACCCCCGCCGCAGTAAACCTGCATACTAAGCGAATTTCCATTTGCCTGATTGGATTCACAGTACAATGCCTCCTTTAAAAGATCACATTTATTCCCTATTTAAATAGAATTAGTTTACGAGTACTTAGGTTTGCTTCAATGAGGAGGGTAAAAACGTATTTTTATGGTAAAATTTTAATAGTTTAGTAAGAAATAAATGCATTTTCCAAATTTGATCAAAATATGTCCATAAACAAACATCTACAACGGTTTACTTACTCTCCATAAGAATAACATAGGAATTTTTAATTTAGAATTTTTTTGGAATTTTATCCGTAACAGTTAGGCGCATAATAACGCTTCAATGTACTAAATTATTTGTTTCTAAAGCTCTACAAATGGTTTGGAATAAAATTGCTAAATTTAACTTTTTTTCAAAAAATAGGAAAACCCGAGTTTTACCCTATAAAGCCCCTATTCCCATAGTCCGATCATACTGGTTTGCGAACTCGTTCGAATAAATGTAGGTTTACACGTTTATACAAAATTGCATCAAAATGGAATGATTTTTGTTCGAGTTATCGTGCTAACGAACACACATACGTATAGATGTGTTTATGAATTTGAATGGGTATTGTTTTTTTTTTGCAGGGACCTCAAAACGAAAAAGTAATTCGGTCTCGGGTCCAAGTCTTACCATGAGTACAATGGTAATAGCTTATCCCCTATATGGGAAATTCGCTAAAACTGGTTTATGATATCTTATGGTATCAAGGTACCAATTTAGACACCACCGTTCAAGAAAATTAACAAAAGGATAATAAGGTAATTTTCACATGCGGTAGTACCGGTAGGTAAACAAACTATTAAGTAGTCTGCAAATATGTTAATGATACTCCTGCAATAAGTGATATCTGGTATTTATAACGGTATTTTAATGTCGTTACTTAAAAGCAAAGAAGCTTTTTATGCCACGTAAAGATAGCCGTAAACCCATTTTTGCTCTGAGATAAG